CACTTCCTTGTGTCACCGCTCCAACTAAGCCTGCTATCTGAACTACAACTCCAACATCTGAACTCCCCACAATGTAACCTTATCATTGCTTTCTGGAAGCAATGCATGATGGGATATGTAGTCTAGAGTAATCGAGATTGCATCACATCAAGCAGCAGGGAAAGAGACGCAAAGCACACCGGGAATCCAGGAAGTTGATGAAAGTGATGGGCAGATGAAATGCAGCACTCGCTACATAAGTGAGGTTTTTTTTTCCACGTACGTTTTGATTGTATTATCAGAAACAATGCCAGTCTGTATTCCTATTACAGTGCTGATGTTATAACAGGAGAAGATATGCTGGGACTTTACAACTCCTTTACAGGAAGGTGTTTGTTTATTAATTGGCAGCCTCTGGGTTTACATGAGCTGTAACCTTTTCAATTAAATGTAGAGATTTAAAACCCCACGCGAGCACAGTGAGAACATGCAAACTCCTTACAGTGGGTGTCCTGACTGGGATTCAAACTGGGGATCCCCAGCGCTGCAAGGCTGCAAGTACAGTGGCTTAGTGGTTAGCACTTCTGCTTTGCATCCCTAGGGGTCCCGGTTAAAATCACGGCTCAGTCTGTTGGGTAAGTGGACGTAGCTGAGATATCCGTCATTGAGATGGATAAGAAGTCAATGTTTAATTCAGCCTGCTTGTATCTACCTAAAACTGAAATACCAATTCTAAGTGGACTGACCCTTTAAAAGGAAATGTTAAGTGTCCTTGTCATATACATAATTATAAGTGGAACAGATTCCATAAACATGTTCTAAAACAGGATTTCTTGTCTGCGGCCAGAGTCCATTAACCGAAAGTGTTCTGTATGAATGATTCAATCTCTCTTCACACTTACTGCAATTCTGAGAAGACAACAAGTCTATTGTACTGTGACAGTCAAATGGATCAGACACTTCCTACACATCCTTCTCGCATGCTAACCATGGAGGATCCAAGGAGCGTCTAATACAATGGCCTCTATTAAATCCCATTCACCATACTGTATGTTCACTTATTGTAAGTCAGGCTGTTGTGATTTTCTGTTTATGAATGGAAGCCGAAGTGTAAGCTAAAAGCTGAGCTCCAGACAGATATCAATTGATGCAACTCTGTACACATTAAAAGAGAACTCCGGGCAAATAAAAAAATATAGCTCCCTTCTATGCATTTCATCTGTGTATATAGCTATCTGCTTGTACAAATCCTGAACTGTTGGTAAAGATCTTTTCACACCAAAGATTTCCACTATTGCCTGAGAAATAGGATTATGTTCTGTTGTTCATTGCTCAAGCCCTGATGAGGTAGGGATTCCCAACCCCGAAACTTCTTGACACCATTTGTAAAGCCAATAAAGGGGTTTTTGTTTTTTTTAGACGCATGGGAGGATTACCTGGCTCTAGTTTTTAGCCAATGGATTTCTCATTGTGGGAGTCCCCTCCCTCCTGAAGAGGACCCCATTTTGACAAGAGTTGATGTAGTCAAGCTCTCTGGCCCAAATATTGCTGCTCTAGTGTGGACTATGACCTTCTCCATATAGAGAAAGGTCATGGTCCACCACCTCATCCACACTCACCCTAGGACTGTACTGGATGGCAGAGATTTGTAAATCGCAGGACTGGATGAACAGAAATACAAATCCTTAGGCTGATAAAACGGCTCTCGTCTATGTTTTTTTTAATATGTGTATTTAGGCGTTTGCCTGGAGTTCACCTTTTATATTAAATCAGGGGGAGCCCTGGCAGGTGCTCAGAGATTTAATGACGGAGAAAATCTGTGAAATTGTATTTTGTTAGTAAATAGTCATCACATGGCTGCAATTTTTTGTTTTTGGCTTGCTGTTAGACTTGAGCGTTTTTCTTTATTTGGGAGAACAGAACTGCGAATAAGCTGAACAGTCATTTCTTTGATTAAACCCGCCACACGTCTGCGGATTAGACTTTGATCAAAAGCTCACACTAATGTGAGCAGAATCCTCCCGCCCCGTATGTACAGTCCCTACCAGAGAATCATAATAATGGAAGAAATGTATCTTCCCGCAGAGCACGGATTATACTCCAGTATATATTATGTTTTACAACAGTGAGAGATAAGTTCTGACGCTTACTGTCCTGGAAATACAATTCTGCCTGTTGGCAATGCATTGTGGGCTTTTCAGTTCTTCAGCCCCAGGGTGGCTTTAAAGAGGACCTGTACTGGGGAAGCTGTGCCCAAAAGAGGCAGACAGAGGGCAGAGGACTAGTCACCAGTGTAGTCTGTGCCATCCCTTTTATATTTCCCATTACTGAGTTACCATGCCATGTTCTGCACTGTTCCCTTGTGTGGAGGTGGCCATCTTGGTAGAAGCTTCCTCATGTCTGAGATGACCCCTTAATGACTAGACATCTAATGACTGGTGGCGGAGTATACAGACAGCACACATCCTCAGCATAAATGCAGCAGAAGCACGGAGATTCTTGCATTGCGGCTCCTTAGGTACAGCTTCCTCTCCAGCAAGGAGAACATTGAGCAGCACAATAACGACACCTCTAAATGTCACTCCAAATCTCACTGAGATTAGCGGTCAGAGGGAGCAGTGGCTAAGATGATCTCGCACTGAAGATATGAGACAAGGTTGCTAAATTTAAACTTGTTCACGCTAGAGGTGAGGCGATTGAGAGGGGACATGATTTTGATGTACAAAATGTTTAGTGGAGATGGCAAAAATCAGCCATAAACTTTTTACTGTAAACTCCATAACGACTAGAGGCCACCACCTAAAACTGGTGGAGAAAAGATTTATTCACAAAGGGTGTAGGGGCTTCTTCTCAGAGTGGCTACATTTTGGAACTCTCTGCTAGGAGCAGTGGTATCGGCAGAGAGTATTGATTCATTCAAAAACAATTGGATACCTTCCTCAGGGGCCACAACATACAGGAGAACAGGTACCCTTAAAAACCAAGACCCCATAGAGACTCGTATACCCACATGCACGCACTACACACACACATGCACATAAAGGTTGGACTCGTAGACCTGTCTCTTTATGCAACCTTAAATACAATGTAATTATGTAAGATATACAGCTTCCAGGCACAGGAAGTCCATTGCTTTTTTATCGGGGAAAACTCAAGACTAAAATAAGTCTAAGCGTGGTTCTGGTTCTACCGGTTCCATATAACATAGCGAACATTATTTATTGCTCTCTTGATCTTTGTTCTTTTCTGTCACACACATTCTTTTCAGAGATGTCACAAGAACATGTAGTGAAAGATTACCCCAGTGTCACGGACTGACATAAAAACACCTGGCATACATTTTAGGCCACCCCCACTCTCTTTTCAAAAATGGAAAAAAAAAAGATTTTTATGATAATTTGGGATCCTTGGATTCAATACACCCATCCAACCCTGCCTCAGGAGAGCTTGACAGCCATCTGACCGATCGGGCTCCTTGGGGGTTGCCTTGCGACGGCATCCGGCACTACACCCCACTCCCTCCTCCTCATTCCTTCTCTCTGGAGCTCTTTTCCTGTCGTACTACTTCTCTTCATCTGTCTCTTCCTTTTGATATGGCTGTTTTGTATAGCCCAGGAGCCGTGACCATAGGCTTACAATCGATCAGCGATAGATGTTTCTACACATTAATCTGGCTCTTGCACTACTTTTCCATAATGAATGGCACAATTTGTTCTCCGATTTGAGCTGGTATGTCCTCTCTCTCCTTTATGTATGTTTATTACCTGGATCATGCGATCCCTACCTGCTCGCTATCTGTGACGCACATTTTATATCTGATTGTACTTATTTACGTCTGGAAAATTTTCAATAAAATCTTTGTGAATGATAAAAAAGGTTTAGCTGGAGTCAGGTTTTATCCCTTTCACTGCCAGAGCCAACCACTACCGGACCAAAGATCAGGTGAGTATATCTGCTTTATTTATTTGAGCCCCCTAGACAAAACAAGCACTTAACCCTTGCAGTGCATGGGTTGTCCCACTGCAAGTTTTTGGTGTTTTCTTTCCCCCCTAGAGTTCCTTAAGTGCCTTCATTTGGCCAGACATTTTCAAACCCTGTACAGCAGAGCTCAGATGGGGAGAAGAAGAAGCAGCACAAGGAGCTGTTAGTCCTGCCATTGTTTGTGGTTAAAAGAAGCATGCTGGTAAGAAGAGAGGGCTGAGAGATGAGCTCATCAACCCTCTGCTTCTCTTTTCACTGTCCAGTCACAGGTTGGGGTTGGGGAAGGGAACACTCAATGTTACTTAACTGCAGCAATGCTGCCAGAGACATTTTTGGCATAGTTTTTTTTTTTTTTTTTTTGGTGAACTGGCCAATTACAGTCAAATGAGAAACCTTTGTCTCTGGGCAACCCTTGGCCAACCAATCCCGAAGGAGAAGGACATTAGTTTTAGTATCCAATAGTATTTGCCCATTACAGAGATATTTTGGTACCCAGTCCCTTTTAATGAGGATATGCTTTGAAAAGATAAATTACTTTTCCTGCCAGGCAAATGAAGGTCATACTTTTGGAAATCTGAACGTAGTTTGTGCCTTGAATGTCCCTACTTTCTCATTAGCTGGCACTAGATGTATTTGGCTGATTAGTTCTCATTACTCCTGCCTGCGTTTTGTGAATTTTACCATTTTATTCCAGTCCTGCTTCGGTTTTCAGTTGTGTTCAGCGGCTGAAATATCTATTTCCCGGTCGCTTTTGTATAAAATTGTAATTACCAGTCGCTGTATGGGTTGAATATTTATTACAATGTAGCTTGGGAGATGCAGCCACAGACGCATGTTATATCTTCCGGATGTGTTGCCACAATGCATGCAGCGGTATTGCGACCAGGAATCTGTATACAGTAAGGCATGAGGGCAAACATGGTGAGAAATTGATTTAGGGTTTACATACACTTGATGTGATTTAAATTCTAAAACAATGTGAAAGTCCTCCAAGTAATTATTGGAACTAATGCCATTAATGGAACTTTTTTATTTTTCAGGTGGTAGAGTGTGCTCCTTCTCCCCATGCATTGAGCAAGTACAGAGAACCTCTCTAGCCCTGGTGGAACATGGCTTCACAGAGATCAACACCCTGGAAATCCTCCTGCGTGTTTATGATGTGAGAGGCATCAGTCTTCCAATCCCAGATTTCGGGACGCCTGCCGAGGAGAAAGGAGAACGTTCAGACGCCGATAAGTCCAAACGGTTCCCCGCTTCCCAGCCAGGCATGGCACATTTTAAAAGCGGCGTATCGCCCAGAGAAATGGTGGGTCACACCGGGTACCTGACCTTTGCCACCAAGAGTTTATTTTAGGATTTTCCCTTTTTGTAGCATTGAGCTTGTGCACATCTGTGTGGAGAAAGCTCCATATATAGCCAGACTCGGCTGAAGAATGCATTTATGTAAACACATTCACTCTGAATGGCAGAGACTGAACCGAAAACGTTACAGTACGCATCAGCAGCTCTGCCAGGGAATGAAGACAAATCGTCTTGCTGCAGCCATTCTTTTTTACACTGTGTATAAAAAATAAACATTTCTTTCTTCTTTTTCTTTTTAATTATGTCGGCTTGGTTCTAACATTGGGCTAAGCCCTTTAAAGATTATGATAATCTGCTACCTCTGAGACTGTCATGCTGTAGAGAGTTTGAAAGTGCTTCATCATGCTGTCTTTTACTGCACTGCAGAAAACTGCTGCACTGCACTATTCGGCTCTTGTACATTGCTGAGAGATGTCACACGTTGTGCTGTAGTGGTCTCTGTGTGACTATAGGCAGAGATGGTGTGCAAAATGGAAATTAAGTAAACTTGTAGTGATAACAATATTATCAACCAATGCCTGCTCAGAATAGGAGGCATGTATGGTGGCGTTGCATACCATTTCCGGGTATATGCCATAACAGAATTTTTTTCTGATGATTTTTATAATTCCTTCGATCAATACATAAAAAAGAATAATAGACCAACAGTGGTCTACAACAAGACACAATACAATTTAGGCCTTGTTCACACCAAAAGCGTGTGCGTTCCAGGGCGGTAGCTGCTGGAACGCACTGCGATCGCTGAGAAACTTCCCCTTGCGTTTTGGTGCGTGGCGGTGCAACTTCCCCCCCTTTGCCCGCAGTGCGATCGGACGCATGGCAAAACTTTGCCAGCGTTCCGTTCCACTGCCACATGCAAAAAATAGGGCTTGCCCTATTTTATGCGTTTGCAGTGGAACAGAACACTGGCAAAGTTTTTTGCCACGCGTTCGATGGCACTGTGGGCGTGGAAGCGATGCCATTGAATTCAATGCACCGCCACACCCGCTCCTGCCCCAAAACGCGGTGGGGGGAGTTTCTCAGCGGTGCGTTCCAGCAGCTACCGCTCTATTATGGGCTTCTTTCGGTGTAAAGAAGCCCATAATATGGGGTGGACAAATTGGTATGTAAAACAGGAGCCAGTCTGTCCAATGCATGAGCCAGCAGGATTTTTTCAGGAGACAGCTCCCTTGACAACAACTAGAGAAAACCTAAAAAAATGGCCACCAGCTGTAATTTTTAGGGAGCATTGACTACCTGGCTCCTGGGATTTGTCCAACCCTGATTTAATGAACATTACCTTATGTTCAAAGCCTTGCCTGTGATGTTACCTTGCTATTCCAACTCCTGCCAACATTCTCTTATTTTTTCTCTAATCAAATTGCCTGGATACTTAATACAGCATATCTGACCTAAGAGCATCAGTTACCAACCAGACTATCCCACATTAGGGGTCCAAATGGGGGATATATCCCTATTTTTTTTTTTAAAAAGTACTTAGAATACCAGCCTGCACAGGAAAGCATTGATGCTTACCACTTGCGCCACTGAGCTCCACTGTCTTTAAAAGATAAGCTTGCTGAAGTATCTTAAAGCAGGAGCATCACTACACTAAAAATCTGAAAGAATACCCCCCAGGGTAGCCCACTTGGTCCCATTCTGATCTGTGCTGTAGTTGTGTAGTATGGTGGATTGCTTGTCCCCCCTCCCCCCACTGCTGTCCGACCACTCTACTAGCAAGCAGACGAATACATAATGAGGGCTGATTGACAGTGTTTGTCTCTAGCAGCAGGCACACGCTAGAGATTAGCTGCATCATTCAGCACAACAGGAGAAGGGGTTGCAGCACTGGCGGGGCTCTGTGATCAGCTGCATGCTAGTAAACATAGGCTGCGCTGACTGGCAGAATAGTTTGTGAACTTTCTCCTCAGTGTCCTGTTCTTAGACGCACCTTAGGGAAGTTATACATCTGGCACAGTAGGGCAGAGGAGAGGAGGAGGCACATAAAATAGGCACAGGAGGGGGAGCGATGGCTACAGTGCTGGCTTTTCCTTCCCCATAGGAACGCCCACAAATTGGGCTTCTGTCTGGGGTGCAAGTATAGCTGGCAAAGGCAGAATAAAAAATGTACTTTTAGCACACAACTGGGCCAATCACTACATTTCCTTGATCGCTTGGGGAGATTAGATTTTTAGACGGTAGTGGTAATTCATCTTTAAGCTTCTTTTTTGTTTCTCTGATGTAGCCAGCTGCTGTCAAGCTTGCCTGTGCTCTTTGTAATATTTTATTCTGTCCAACAGTTCTTCTCAAAGTACAACTCCGACTCTCGTCAATAAATCTTAAGCCCTGATGAAGAGGGCAACTTCTGATCCCTAAAACCAGTGACTATTTGGAACCAATCTATTTTAATAAAACTTAGTTTGACTTTGGTGTTCCATCACTGTCTGTTTAGCAATAAAAACCTGACGGTTTCTAAACTACCCTACTCTATTTAATGCTAAAAAGAATGTTTGCTTTATATACACGCACCCGCTGATGTAATTGGCCCCTTAGACTACATTATCTAGGTGTAGCGTGGGATGCGGTATAGAGATATCCCTAGGATTCAATTTTAATGTTGCTGTAAGATTTGAAAGCTATTTTAAGGGTTCCCCCCCGTATTAAAAAGGTTGAGAGACTGCGCTGTGCTGATTAACTTAGATCTCATTCGTCAAGGCTAACAGCAGTGTCTATGTACGCACAGTGACCCATAGGTGTCAATCAGATGTCATCTTTCATTAGAGCAGTCTGAGTAATGATGAATGCATTTTGATAGGGTGCTATGATTTACTTACTCAAACAAAAACTTGTTCTTTAGAGAAAAACAAGCAGCCTGTGTACAGAGTACTTGCCGTTTGAGGCATTTTATTTATCTGCCTATACGAATAAACCTCCACCTCACACTATACTTTGTTGACCTTAAAAAAAATATATATATATATTTCAGTATAGTGCTGCACTGAGCTCATCCATCTTCTGTTGTACAGCACTGATTTCATCAGCTCTATGCTGCCTTAATCTTTGCTTCATTCTAAAATTTTGTTCTGCATTGTGTTAATCAGGGGAGGCTGTGAAAAGGGACAGATGACCCTCTAGGCCTTTTAGGTGGAATGATCAATCCCTTAAATGCAAGAGGATCTCCCCCTCATTGCTGCACCAATTTGTCAGTATAGTGATTGGCCTCATAAGACCTATCCAGCTTTTTGGTGGGTGATATTGACACATATTTATATACTTTCACGGTTTTCTCTAGCTTTTTTGATGGCATCATGCCTTTCTTGCAGAAAATGTAAGTGGCTGTAGACACAAACGTGAGAGGAGATTTCTCCAACATGAGGAACCCTTCCCTTTAGAAAGTTATCTCCATTGGTATGCCCATTGGAAGATTTCCCATCTGTCCTGTTCTAGTGAAAAAAATAAAATTTTGGCTTTTCTCTTACTTTTCAGTCAAGATGACAATGGTCACCCAGGATCAAAAAGAAAGGATACATCTGCTAAATGAGGACACAATAAACCTAATGGGTTCAAACCCTTCCCTATTCTATCCAAATCCAAAAGGTTTTGTGTTTAGATACACTTTTAGTTGTAATAACAGTGCAGCCTTACTTCTCATGGTTTGCTGTTATTCACTAATGGAGCTCAGGACTGATAATGGACACTCTGTACAGGCTGCTTGAGAAGAGTAAACTGTCCATTAACAAAGCCTTTAAGGTGGTCATACACAAAGTGCTTGTTCGCTGATTGCTGGTATGTAGATTTAACTATTTTTATCATCATTTAAATTTTCAAAAAAACACACATTGTAGAACTGGACAAATCCCAGGAGCCAGGTAGGCAATGTGGCTTAAAAATTACAACTTGCTCCCAACATTTGAGGTTTTCTCTAGTTGTTGTCAATGGAATTGGCTCTTAAGGAAATGCTGCTGGATCCTGGCTTGGACAGAATTCCCTATTCATTTGTCCACCCTTGCGATCAATTGAAACAGTTAAAACAAATATGATCATTCAGTGACGAATGTCACATATAATCAGATATTTCTTCAAGCAAGTGATCCAACTAAATCGATCAAGAGCTCTCTAAATCAAACTGATGGTTCTGGTTTGCAATTTTTTTTATTCGGTTTGATCAGTTTAGCCGCATCAATGACCCTCTCCATCTCTTCTTACCTGTTATACTGGGCTCTCACCAGAAAATATACCTGACCAGCGAATCTAACTTTGTCCTGCTGCCACAGCCGGGTCTCGCACTACCGTCCTCTATTATGTCATTGGGAGCCGTCATGCTCTTCCTGGCTCTACAGCTGGTTCTTGAAGGTGAGCGACTAGGTCCGCTGCTGCCGGCCTCTGTGAGTCCCTTGGCAAAAAATGGTGGTGGGGGGAAAAAAGTTACCAGCCCCCCCAAAATTATTAAAGTACACAAAATAATTCCCTGCCATTTCTTTAATGGGGAGGGATTACGGGGAGCTAAAGTCTGAGGGTCTGCTTTAAATATATTATATCTGATCTGTTTAGGGTTTATTTGTTCTGTCTTGATTATCAGGGGGCATTTTTTACTCCCAGGTCCAACATTTATGACACCCCCCCTACCCCCCCCTCTATTGTAGGTGCTGAGCTCAAACAATACACTGAACAATTATAACACACGTGTTTGGCCACCATACATTTTCTTTCATGTAATACTGGCACCACCTTTGTTCTATGACAGTAGTTTGAGTTCATTTTGTAGGAGATGAGCTCAAACAATACACTGAACAACAATAACAATTCAGCAATCAAGATTCTGATTATTACACATGCCATCGGTTCTATTTCTGTACATTTTTCCACAATGTCTTCTAATGCCATTATGAGACATAATTTGAAAAGAAGTATTCTGAGTGTAGACTGCATCTGGGTTCCCTGTAAGAACCTACTGTATCTGATTCCAGATGTCTTTTCCTGATCTGCACTGGAGAAATGATCTCTTTCTCACTCCGTGAACACAGACACTTTTTTTTATCTCTATTTTTATAAAGCAGCCGGTTAGTATTGCGTGGCAATGCACTGCACAATGTCCTCAATTCCCCGTCTCTTGTGATTACAATCATAGCACCTGCCTGTAGCTGCAGACCCAGCTGGTACTGTCTTTTTTTGTATCTCCTTATTTAGAGAATGAAGTCAGAGCTTG